CGTCTTGACACCTCTACATTGGAGATGAAATTTGAACTAGGCCGATAGATGCCAATAATGGAAAATGCATTGTAGATGATATAAAAATCAACAAAACATTACCTTTTACAGTCTACCAATAATTACGATCTTTTATTGGGCAAAAAGGCATAAGATTAATTAGAGCATGTTTGAGCGTCATTTTTTTTTTTTTGAAAATAATGCATTTTGATGGAAAATATGTGATTAAAAAATAAGGAAAAGTTTTGATTTTGTGTGTAATATTATTTTATTGAAGAATGTATGATTGAAAATAAGAAAGACAAAAATATATTTTGAAAATAATGTGGATCAAACAAGGGCTAAATGTCATTTTACGACACAGTTTTGCAACTGTGCTATTCAAATGTTCTCTTAGCAAACATATCTAAAGACAAAAACACCAACAAATAGAATTTACAGGAAATTACTTCCGCGTCTTTCAATTGCTTCACTAGAGCCTAAAAGAAACTTCAAGAAGCCAAGATAACAGGGAGTGCACAACTCAGAGTGAGCAATTCGTGGTGTGTGCATGTGTGTGTGTATTTGAGAAAAGGCAACAGAAATTAATCAATTGAATAAAAACAATACTTACCCTCTATCGCTGAATATTGAGCATGGTCTTGGCTTCAGTCTGCCCCTCCAGCAAATTCTCACTAGTATACTTGCTCAAGAGCTCCTGCTTTTTCTTCTCCAACACCATCTTCTCAATCTCCTTCTCGTCTGGCAATGGCACATGCGCTACAAACTCCTTTTCCTTCTCCTCTCTCTCCCTCTCCTTCCTCTCCTCCTCTACTACGTCCTCTTCTTCCTCAAATAATATCTTTGACATTAATCCCACTTCAGCCACCTCCCCGCTCTTCACTGCCCTCCTGGCTTCCTTCTTTATCTCCTCCATCTCCATCCAATCTGCCACAGCTGCAGCCCTCATCTTCTCCTCCGCTGGCCCTTCCAATTTCTCTAATATTCCATCCTCGTCATCCCTATACCCATAATAACTGGCATCGATCCTCTTGTAAATATCGTACCTACAAAGAAATGATAAAAAATCAGATAAGCAAAGCATTACATCCACATCATAACTAAATTGTGTGGAGTCCCATCAGTCCTTCATACCAGCAAATGTATAGCAATGATAGTTCATCATATATAGTTATGGTACTAAAATTTTAGAATGTTGATTCTTGTTATGTTATAAATACAATTTTGCTTTTCAGCTGCAAAAAATAAAGCCTTTTTCCCTAAACATTTAGAAAGATTCTCAGCCAAACATTGACATATTTCAAACCCATCAACAGAGAGTGGCCATCAAACATTTTAAGAGAGAATTGACATGCTAAACTGGCAAAGTGACCAAGACATGTAATGTTAGAGAAAAAAAAAGGAAAGCTCGTTCAGCTTTCCAAAGGGGTTTGATAAGTGAATCCACTAAAAAAAGACATGTTTCTTACTCTT